AATTTAAAAATAGTAAACGAGAAAGGTAGATTCTCAGGATTAAGATTTGTCAAAAAATATAATTCAAAATAAAATTTAATAAAATAAGATTAATTATATAAAAATGGTGCCGACTCTAAATATTAAGAAGTGATACGTACAGAAAAATACATATTATACGCAAGTAATAATTACTGCTTCCAAGTATTTCAAGAATTCATATAATTTATATCTCTATCATAAAATTTATTAAAAGCATTTATTCAAAATATATTTTGAATCCTTGTAAATTTAATGCTTTAATCAAGATTATTAAATTCAAATAAATTTGCTTATTATATAAAGTTACTTTTCCGATCAATTTTAAAATATTCTTCAAAAGAAAATAAACTCTTGAGAAATAATAAGTTTTTCTAAAATTTATAAATACATTTTAAGATTATTATCAAGAAAATATTTTTATTAAAGATAACTGTTATTTAACAGAGAGAAAAATAATTAAGTAGTCACTTTTCTCAGCAACGAAATGATATTTTTTTGTGTGTAATTGTTAAAAAATCGTGATAGATTTAAGAGCTGTATTCGACAAAAATTAACGCAAGGTTGCGCTGACGGGGGAAATAAATGTGATCGCGTTAGTTATATCGCGAGTATATAAAATATTGGTGATAAATTTTGCCGACGCGGATGAATGAATCGCGATTAATGAAGCCGCGATTAAGGAACCATAATTGGTGGCAGGGAATCGCGCGAAGGTGGAAGAGAAGTAGAAGGAAATAAAAGGCGGAAATGCGTGTGAAGGAGAGAAGAAGAGAGAGAGAGAGAGAGAGAGAGAGAGAGAGAGAGAGAGAGAGAGAGAGAGAGAGAGAGCGGAAGAAGTGAGAAAAGGTTGGAGGCCGCAATGAGCTGAGCTTTTCCACGCTTCCCCTAATTACATTTTCATACGAACCGTTTCCCCTTTATTTTCTCCTCCGCCCTACGACCATTTTTCCCGGAGCTAAATCCCCCCACCATCCTTATTCTCCGTCAACGACTGCTACCCTTTTCTTTCGTTTCTTCGCCCTCGTCTATGTCTTCGTCTCTTTTCCTTCCATCATCCTCTCACGCCTTTCCGCGCGCTGGAAAAACGCTTTAATACATTTTCGTCGCTCGTCGCCGCGCGACGAGAAAAAAAAGAGAGGGAAAACAAGAGGAATATCACCTCCGGGTCGCAGTCTCGAAACGCGTCGATTTCCGCGTACAAGTCCCGCATTAAGGGCGCATTAAGGAGCGCATTCAGCAAAGCGTGGGTTCTGAAGCGGACTGTCTGTGAAACGGATTCTGAGTTCTAAAGTCCGAAGCCGAGATTACTATTGCACCGAAAAGACGTACTTGCCAGAGAGTTCGATGTTAGTTTTAAGCCAGTTCCGAAGTTAGTTTCTTCGTCATTTATCGACACTCATCATTAATCACGCGTTTCTTTCTTTACATCATAACATCGTGATGGCAGTGATTATTATATCTCACCCTTGATTTCTACGTACTCGAGCTTTGACATTCTCAGGGAATTTTTATATATACTCTTGAAATAAGAGATAAAGAGATAATAAAGAGATATATTGCTTATTATATTTTACTACTTTCTTTCGCAGCGACGAATATATACCTTTGATCTACCGTTATTCTTGACGATGAAGCGTTACAGTGACGGACGATTTTTGTCGTCGACGAACGTGCTCACCTCCGTATGTTACCTCTCGTATCTCCATGTATATTCAGCACACGCGACATAATCGCTTTAATATAACATTTCCACTGCGTCCTCACGAAACATAAAAGCGGTCAGCCCTGTAAAAGTTGGGGGATAATACTTACTAGCGCGTCGTCGTCCTTAGATCAAATACACTAAATACACTGCCAGATACTTTGTGTCATCTCAGACACGCTTTAGCATCAGAAGCCACGTAGTGTCTAATTTTTCTCGGTATGTTAAAATCTTCATACGCTTTTTCTTTTCTTCATTCAAGTGTAATAAGATATTTCGGAGAAATTGATTTTCGTGTCACAGTGAATGTACTCACGCATTTTCCATGTTATGCATTGCAGCTGCTTCATGTTAAAAGCTGTAAAATTGAAGTTTTACAAATTGTACCGTATAATTAAATTTGCATGGGAATTTTACGAGAGTTTACGCCTCGCAGCGAAAATTAAACGTCGATGTGCAAATGATATCCCTGCGTGTATTTGCAATCGGCGAACGCGACGGATTTTGTATGCGATGCAATAGCCGAGCGCTCGTATGGTCGGATAATCCCATTCCCGTTCGAGAGCGGACACGCCGCTTTTCCCATCGTAGCCACTCGCTTAACTTTGCGAAAGTCAGCAGCGGGAGACGAGACTAGGAAGTGAAAGAAGAAGAAGAAGAAGTAGTAGTAGTAGTAGATAGACAGCGGGGGAAGAGAGGACACAGAAAGCCTTCGATTCTTCTTTCGCTCTCGTGCGTTTGTTTACAGAGGACCTCGATAGAAGGTGGCTGGTATGAAACGAGGGTACAGGACCTCGGTAGCAGGAAGGGGAGAAGGATTCGGAGCGGAGGGACCATAACAGAAAAGTACCTGGGGTAGACGTGCGAAGAGCGAGACGAGAGGTCGCGAAGGAAAGAAACGAGCCGAAGTGGAGAAAAAGGAGGATGAAGGGGCAAAAAAAAAGGATTCGAGAATTCTCGAAGCGAAGAGTCGAGTGGTTGGGTGGTCGAATAATAGAGCTGCCCTTAATACCGTCATCCCCGCGCTATCCCCGGGTTAAACGAGGGAAGAGGTCGGCGGAGGAAGCAGCGC